ACTGAGAATTGGGGGAAAACTTTAGAGTCATGAATGATGAACCAACTTTGGCTTCAGTGGGTAGAAATCCATGACCTTACAAATATCGGAGTGCCTGAAAAACAAACTGGCTAATCAGCAGCGAAGGAACGGATTGCAAAGGGAGCACCTCTTGCACCAATTGTTCTTAATTATTTCTTGAGATCCAATTAGTTATTCCCTTACCCTTACCGTGGGAGGATAACATTTAAAATGCTTTGCAATGAAAATTAAAATTGAGTCTAAATTCTGCTTTATCACTAATTTGTTGGAACTAATTAGCTGAACATAACATAGCTGTTTCCTCTTTTAAAATCCCAGGAATAGTGACTTTACCTGAACTCTGTAAAATGTTTTTCCTTAATGCTGTCTTTCATTCTGTTGAGACTCATTTTCCATGAAAATCTTGTTTAATGCTTCCAATCACCTTAATGGAACAAGCTAGATGGGTTCCTAATAAGAGATGCGAACAACAAATCTTTGAGTCATTCTAGGTGAGGATGTGCTGGTAAAACACCCATTAAAAACAATTAGAATTAATTCCCTTTCTGGTTTGCTTGAGTGGAAATGCAAAGTCCAATTAAGGGCACATCCAAACTGAAGACCAGAAAGTCCTAGATTGTGTTTCTTTTCTTTCTGATTATATTATGGATATCTGTACATGTTTGGTTTATCCCAGAATATTTTTTGTCCGCTCCAGGTACAATCATGTGCTTTTGGACCAGCTCTCCAAACAATTTGAAGGAAGGGAGGAACATAGGTGGGTTTAGGCATCAGTTCCTATAGAATAATTTTTCTGTAGAAAAAAAAAATTCTATAGCTAATCACAAAATAACACAAAACAATTAAAAAGTATGCTGTGAAGCTTTCAAAGGCAATCCATTTAAATTACATTATTTTCCACATTCAAAATAATTGCGTAAAGTCAATAACATGGGCTAGACATGCAACTTGAAGGCACACAAACACACAAAATAAATATACTCTACAAGTCATTCTGCTATAACAGTCTGAACAGTTAGTAAAATTTAATGAGATATGCAAACTCTCAGCATATTTGTGAAGAAGCTTCCCACTTAAAATTCCTTCAAATATGTCACTTTCACAAGCAAGAGTACTAAATCTGCCTTTCTGTGATTACCGAACATCTATATGCTGCTGGCATGTCTGTCAAAGTTGAGAATGAATTTTCACACATAGTTGTAGATTTGGCAAATCAGAGGGTTGAAGCATAAAAAGATACATAGAAAAGCTTCCTTGTCATATACAATATTTTATTAACTTAGTGAAATGCTAGTATTGGAGTTTCTTTGCAGGGTTCTACCATCGGAAACCTAAATGGTATCACTTTAACCTCAGCAGCCTGAAAGTCAAAAGCAAGGTAACGATTTATTTTATAGAACTCCAATATGCTGATGATAATGTAGTCTGAGGTCATTGAGAGGAAGACCCACAAGCCATCTTGAACATCTTCGCAGAAGCATACAAAAAGCTTGGTCTGTCACTGAACATCAAGAAAACCAAAGTGCTCTACCAGCAGGTACCAACCAATCCCTTTGCAATGCCAGCAATAAAACTTAATGGTGTAACGCTAGAAAATGTTAACCACTTCCACTATCTAGGCCACCACTGCTTTGCAATAGTTGACACTGACACCAAAATACGACACCATCTGAGCACCAGTATTGAAGCTATGATTCTCTGCCATCAACTTCGCTGGACCGGCTACGTTGTCCAAATGCCCGATCACTTTTCTCCCAAAGCAGTTACTTTACTCTCAGCTCAAGAACAGAAAACTGAATGTCAGTGGACAACAAAAGAGGTTTAAAGGCAGGCTTAAAGCTTAAAGCTAACCTAAAAATGTGGAACAAATACCAAGAAATTGGAAGCCCTGGCACCCGGGACTGTGGTGCAGCTGGCTGGGAGTCAGCTGCATTAAAATCACTACTGACTGAAAGGTCATGAGTTCAAAGCCAGCCCAGGTCAGAGTGAGCTTCCAACCAATTTGTGTAGCTTGCTGTTGACCTTTGCAGCCCGAAAAACAGTTGCATCTGTCAAGTAGGAAATTTAGGTACAGCATATGCGGGGAAGCTAATTTAACTAATTTACGAAGCCATAAAATCTCCATCAAGCATGCAAAGAATGAGGAAGTACTTAATCAGTGTCACAAATGGACAGTGATGCAACAGCTCCCCTGGTGGCCAGAATGCCCTAATCAAAAAGCTGGAATGTTAAATAGCCTCTGTGTGTCTGTCTATATATGTTGTTTGTTTATGGCATTGAATGTTTGCCATGTATATGTACATTGTAATTCGCCCTGAGTCCCCTGCGCGATGAGAAGGCTGGAATATAAATACTGTAAATATATAAATAAATGAGCGTTCTGTCAGCTGTTACCCACAGTGCTATGGATTTTGAAGAGGCACAAATAGAGGGTGAAAGGAAGAAACATGTCAAGAGGAAGGTGCACGTCAAGTAAACCCTTGTTGTGACCACCTTCCATCTGGAAATCAATGTCCTCAATGTGAAAGACCCTGAGGATCTATTGGTAGTGGTGGTGCAGAATTCTTCTTTGAAAAGAAATATTCTCATTTTCTATTTTTTGCAATATCCTTGCATGCAACCAATCCTCCGCTTTTCATATGTGGATGTATAGACATCCAACCTGATCACTTTTGTGCTTCTCAAGATGGACAGGAGTGCCATTAACAATTTAAATTTGAAATGCAAGTCTTTTCTCACATCCTGTCTGGGACCTGGCATTAATGCACAGATTCCCGGTGTTTATGCATACGCTGAATATTAGCTAAGTGTTAGCAATCATCTTGGGCAAACTGATTTATGCAAATTTCCTCCATTAACAACTGTCTTTTAATTCACTTTATCATACATCAGGTTGACTTAAATTACTTCGGAAACAGGCAAAAGCATTGAGGGGATTGGTATGCAAAGCAGGCACCTCTGTCTGCAGTCCAGTTCTAGGATAAACATTTATCCTGGCTTCTCCAGAAATGTCCCTTTAGAAATCAGAGCATTGAGAGGACTGCATAAAGGGCAAAGCACACATTGTACAGTCCTGTCCATAACTGTCACAGCAAGAAGACAGTTGTGCATGTGTGAGTTGGAGTTAAGGACATGTGCATTTCAAACTCAATGACTGAAACAATTTCAGAAGGTGGCTAGTCTTGATATTTTACAGCCCAAACCTGAAACTACCCATGGTGATATCACACAGATGAGCCCTAATGATATCAGTCAGTATGATATATGAAGTTTGATTGCATTGACTATTTGACACTAGTCAAATAAAAAAAAAATACAAGTCTAACAAATGAGACAATGGAGCAAGAGGAGGACAGGTGGCTTTTGGAGAAGTTGCAGCAGCTTCAAATTAACCCACAGCAGTGACAGTCAGCAGACATTAAACACATTTTAAAGGCTGGTCTCTCCTGCTAAAATTCCTCTTTGTCCTGAGGTAGAAATGAAAAAGCACAGGTTCTGAGACCTGGGCATGCTAGATTAGTAAAGGAATAAATCAGCATGCAAGAAAAGCTGTGTCCCATTGTGACCTGGTCCTGGAGACCATGCTCAACAATGGAGCCACGAAACTGCTCCAGATGTTGAAATGTTTTGTGAATGCAGCTGTCTATGTTTTGGTCTAAAGGGCTTCTTCCAACTCTATTGTTCCATGAAATTAAATTCTGTACTGGGAAAAGAAAACCCTTTTCCATTCTAAGAGCAAAGTTATATAGCATGTTTTTTCTCCAAATGGCAAGATCCATCACAGAATATCACTACTGTGGAAGACTGTAAATCCCAGGATTCCAATCCACTTCCTTAAGGAGAGTGGAGGTTACAAGTCAATTATACACATCTAGCTCAATTAATTTTGATGATTGTAATTTGAGAACTAGAACCCATGCCTGTCAATTAGGTCAAGACAGCAAAGGAGAAGAGCACCCCCTGGTGTCTGTAGCAGTCATACTGACTATGTGGTCCTCATGAGCCAGAATTCCTTGGGGTGGAAGTTGCATCCTTCTCAGTGTTGTTATTAAAACCATTAGAAGAGTTATAATCTCTCACAAAATCATAATGGTTGAAAGAAGCTCTATGAGCCATCAGTTCCAAGCCTCTGCTCGATGCATAATTTCCAATGAAAGCAAGCCTAAACAATTTTGGATTAGAAAGTGACCGAAACTAATTTTCAGTTTCCTACTTACCCATTCTTTTTCTCTATCTCCCTTCCTTCATTTTCTCCCTTCCTCCTTCCCTCCCTCCCAGGGTCATGTGGTGCCAGAAGAAGGCACACAGCAAAAGTGTTGGGTGTGCAGTGGTGGCGGGGAGTGTGTGTAGCAGCAACGGTGATGGCGGTGGGCATATATCCTGCAGGATAGAACTAAAACACCCCCAGCAAGTAGATGTTTACCTTCTTTTTGAAGACATTCAGAGGAGACCCCTTCACCTCTCTAGGCAATTGTTTCCATTGCTGAATTGCTCTCCTTGTCAAGATGTACCTTCTGTTGAACATCTTGCTAACTCTTTTGTAAGTCGTTATTGTTGTTTGCCTTCTAGTTATTTCCAGCTTATGTTAAGAGGGGGATTGTCGTTGCCTTCCTTAGAGCATGAGAAACTATGACTTCTCGTTTTGCCCAATTGAGTTTCTACAGCTGAGTGTGAATTTGGTCTTCAGTCACAGTCCAACACTCAAACCATTACACCGCAAATCAGAGGCTGAAGCAAAAATTATGTTGTGCTCATAGACCAATACATTTAGACTGGTGGCAGCGAAGTGATATCGTCATGTAATTGGCAATCAGCAGGTGAGTTTGACTGTTGTACATACCAAGAATGTCAAGGCACCTATTGGTACAAGTCTGCGTAGGTGGGGCCTAACGTCAATGCACAAAACTACCTTTTTTCCTTGGAGTGTATAAAAGGCAGTTTCAAATCGGAACCTATAGAAAGAAACTGAGGCAAAAGGCATTTTATTACAACTTTATTTCTGTCACGTTGTTTGACAGTCTCTCCATGTTATGTATGAAAAAAGACCTGCTCATGACGGATTTCTTTTCCTCGGCAGCAAGGCAACCTTCTCCCCAACGCAGCCTATGGGCATATCTGTCATTTGTGTTTTGAACAGAATTGTCAAATGAAGAAGGATGGCTAAGTCATTTTGAGCTCCAATTATTTCTGTATCATGGGATTATGTTGTAGTACTTTTTAAACTGTGTCCACATAAACACCGAGCCTAGCAAACTGTTCTTCTGACATTGGCCCAGACACTTTTCTTCATTCCTTGGGCTGCTTTCACTTCATCCCATTCCAGTTTGATATCAGGAACTTCATCCACAGGTTCGGGATCTTCTCTCACCACCCCATCAGGCTTTGCCACAATGATGGGCAACGGGCCACACTCATCGCGATATTCTACGACATAGAGGCCCTTCTTATTTGCTAGATTTTGGTGAGTTTCCTGTTCAGAAGAAAAACAAAGTTAGAATTAATGTAATTTCAAGCCTATCACTTCCAAGGATTGCAAACATTCATTATTGTATTTACAAATTTGTAACCTATAGTTACCAATTTGTAAATGTTCCATATTTAGTGAGAGTATATGGCGTTGCTATCAGACTGAGTATATGCCACCCCAGCCCAACTTAAGAACCAGCAGCCAAATCAGGCAAAGGAGGTCTTTTCTGATTTTGATTGTGGTGGAAGGAGGATGTGGTTTCCACTCCCTTCTCACTATGAAATGATGCTGTGACAAACATAAGCAGGACCCTGGTAAAAAGTCCTTGTTGCAGCCTGGCTTGCTGATGGTAGGAGTACGGAAACTAAACAGACCTCTCTTGGATAGGAAATTGAACTAACTTCCTTGAGTCCTTATATTGGGAGAATGGTGGGATAAAATAAAAGGAAATAAATAAATGAATATTATGAATAATACAAATAAAATAAGCAAGTAAGAAAGTAAATAAAACTCTTTATTATTTATTTATTTACTTCACTTATATACTGCTTTTCTCATCCAGGAAAAAGGGGGGGGGATGACGACTCAAAGCAGTTTCCAACATATTTATGGCAAAATTTAATGCCTCATATACATATGAAATCTATCATAAAACAACAATAATATATAACTATCAAATAGATCATTAAAATGTAATAACATTTGGACATAAAACGTGGAGTTAAAAACATACTAATATAAACATTAAAATCACATAATTCAAAAATCATAGTCCAGGCCATTCCAAATATCAACTGCACATAATCCCTGATCATTCCTTGTATTGCTTACTGCCCAAAGGCTTGGTTCCATAGCCAATATTTGCTTTTTTCTGGAGGCCAGGAGGGAGGGTGCTGATCTAATTTTGTTGGGGTGGGAGTTCCATAGCTGAGAAGTCATCATCAAGAAGGCCCTGTCTCTTGTCACCACCAGTTGCATCTGCGAGTGAGGTGGGACTGAGAGCAGGACCTCCCCGGACAAACTTAACCTCTGAAGTGGGTCATAGAGGGAGATGTGTTCGGACAGGTAAGCTAGGCTGGAACTGTTTGGGGCTTTATAGGCTAAAGCCAGCACTTTGAATTGTGCTCGGGAGCAGACTGGCAGCCAGAGGAGCTGGTGTAACAGGGGGGTTGTGTGCTCCCTGTACACCGCTTCAGTGAGCAATTTGGCTGCCACCCATTGGACCAATGGAAGCTTCTGAACAGTCTTCAAAGGCAACCCCACAGAGAGCACGTTGCTGTATTCTACTTGGGAAGTAACCAGAGTGTGGACTAATTGTGGGCTTTGCCAAGACTCAGCTTCTGGCTCTTAAGATGGGTTGGGGACCACAATTAGTCCACACTCTGGTCCAGGAGACATTACTGGTCAACACATATGTAACTAAGTAGTTGATGAAGAATATCAGCAAAGTTTTAACAAACGTAGTAAAACAGATATGGCCCCTCCCTAAAAAATGCAAACCATTACTAATTTCCTTGTTTACACATAAATCTATTGCACCAGATTTTAGAATAGTCTGTTTAATGTGTTCAGTGAAAAATATTCTAGACTGCTTTTAATTAAATCTGTATGTTTAGCCAGTAGAACAATTGTAAGGGTTGGAAACCATTTTCAAAAGTAGACGTTTGATTCCAGGGAAGTCTCTACCAGATTGGTTAGTAGTTTTGTGCGTATGTGCAAACCTCAGAACACACCAGTCATTTACATGCTTCATTGCTTCTAATGGCTGTGTTTTTAAAATTATGACTGAATGCATTCCTTTCTCGTCCATCTGCCTTGCTAACTTGCCATCACCACACAACAGCAGTGCAAATAAAATAAAGAGCAGATTTCCAAAGAACCACAGAAAGGCCTGATTCTCAGTCAGGACTCGAGTCTATAGCTTAATGATTCCAAACATCAAAAAATTATCTTCACAACACTGTCACAATTTGTATGAAAAGCTCCTAGTGTTCTTTCCATCATCACAAGCCTTCCCTGAATGAACACTGGAGAGAAGATCACATGAAGATTAGCCTATATCTCAGGCATATTAGAATGCTAATAATGAAAGCAAACAATCTATTCAGTACAGCAACTATACAGAGCACAAATGAGGCAAAGGAAAATGAAGCAACATAAAATCAAATTTATGGCATTTTAAAATATCCTTGTATTATGAAAAGAGATGAGGGAGGAGTTCAATGGTAGAGCACAGGCTTTGCTTGCAGAAAGTCCCGGCTCATAACATATATTGACAGCTTTAGTTAGAATAATTATGAATGGAAAGAATATTTGACCGTCAAGCTGGAGAGAGGTTGCATGACAGAGAAGAAAACATTGGGCAGAATGGGGACAAGTCAGATATGAAAAAGTCAGTTTTAAGTTTTTCCTCCCCCCCCCCCAAAAAAAAAGAAAGAAAAGAAAAATCTACAGCTCTGGCTGTGCTGTTACATCCAGACATTATAAAAATAAACTAAGATGTACTTCTCTCTATGTCTGAGTGAACTGCGGGTGTCTTTCTTTAGAAGCTTGAGATATTCAACAACTGAGGCCATTAAAGGTTTTGAGCATTAAAAAAAGGGATATTTATTCTTCAAAGTCCTTGCAGACTTGGCACAGCTTATCGAGGTTACAAACAGAACAGTCAATAGTGAATCCACAGAGATATTCTTTCTTTCCCTTCTCCTCCAGTCACTGAGTTGACTTTTCCCCAGAAGGCAGATAAGATTTTGGAATATTTTCACCCTAAGCTGTTACTTTTTAGAAAGACCAGGTCTTTCCCTATCAATACTAATGGTTAGTTCTGGAGATAAAGCAATGAAGTCTCTCTTTCTATATCTATATAACTCAGTTTCTCAATAAGCTTCTCTATCTATAGTATCTCAATCTCAAACTTCAATATCTATCTATAATATCTCAATCTTCAATTTCTCAGTCAGCTATAACTCAATCACTCAATCAAACTTAGCTATCTATAGTATCTTAATAGTCTTAATAGTCTTGGAGGGACAGACTGAGATGGTGGAGCTGGGGGCCTCCTGTTTGACTCCCTGCTTGTGGGGTCCCTCAGGATTCAATTCTGCTGGAAGAGATCATTTGGAGTTTTGGAGTTCGGTGTCAAATTTATGTGGATGACACCCAACTCTATTACTCCTGTTCACCAAAGGCCAAGGATGCCGTTCTGGTCCTGAACTAAATCCTGAACTAAATCCAGACAAGACAGAGGTACTCCTTCACACATCCCATGCTTTAAAATGTAAGTGCTTGTGCTGAGCACGTGGAGTTTTGTTCTGATATTTGAACAACAAATTTGGGGGAAAACCTAGTTGTTTGGAATGGTGACAATGCAGTTTCACCGCCCCTAGCATTTGCTCACGCTTGGACCAATGTGACATGCAGCCTTAACTGGCTGTTCTCATCCAGGTGGAAGGACTGTAATTTAGGGAGAAAAGGGCTTGCCTCTTGCCTCTACTCTTGCCTCTTGCCTCTATACTCTTGCCTCTATTTGGCAAGGCCTGCTTTCTGCAGTTGTCTGCCAATCAAACAACCAAATCCAACTGGCAACAGGAAGTGGTAATTCAGCAGCACTGGAATTGCCACTGAAATGGGCAACCTGCTGCTCTTTTCTGCTCCCATAATCCTTTTCCAGCCATCTCACTTTGGGCTAGTAAGCCAGCAAATCTTAGATTGGTGCCATGCAGATCTGGTGCCTGCCTGATCACAATAATATTCTTTTATGAAGAAATACAATTTTGGAACCAAGACTTTTAACTACAATCTTGGAGAAAACAGCATCTCCAAGTAGGCCTTCCTTCCTGAATACTTTGCATGATACTTATGGTTGCATAATTCTAGCTGTTTCAATCTATTTTGTATTTTCAATATTTTACATATTTATATCTTCATAATTCCCTACCTCCATCGGTTTCCTTACTATCCCCAAATACTCCCATTTTATTCTGAATTCCCTTTCAACAACTGCCCAGGGGTACTCTTCATTCACCTGCTGCATATTTTACCTGATTTGCCAATCCCTTGAAGACTCCTCGAGTGAGATTCAGTAAATTCCCAGATCCATAAACCTTAGCGTACATGTCTTTAATTCCAATCAGCTTGCAGATGGTAATAATAGCTCGGTGACAGCGAAGGCCATATCCTGGGGAAAGTCATTGGTAAATGTTAAAACGATTTAGAATAATAAATGCTGTAAGCAATTGCTATGAACATGGAATGACAATAGCAGCTTCAGTAGCATGGAAGCCTACACTCTCAACCCCAGAAAACCCTATGATAACTGTGCTCACTGGCATCCTATGGGGAATATTAATGGTTGTTTATTCATTCAGTCATTTCCAACTCTTCATGATGCCAGTCCATGTCAGAGCTCCCTGTTGGCCGTCGCTACCCTCATCTCCTTCAAGGTCAAGCTACTAATTTCAAAGATAACATCTATCCATTTTGACCTTGGTTGGCCTCTCTTCCTTTTTTCTTCCATTTCACCCAATATCATCATATTCTCTAAGCTTTTCATTATGTGGCCAAAGTACAGTAGAATCTTGCTTATCCAACCCCAAATATCAGTTGGTAAAGCATATCTTAACCTATGCTTGGGGTCATAGCAAATCAATTTCAAATCTTCTTAGATGACCCTTTCCTAAAAATCAGAGTACTATACAATAATCAAAGTTGTTATGGGATTGTAATGTTGAGCAGACTGGAAAGCCTAACACTTCCCTAAGACCCAACTTATTTTTAATTCATGTGATTGATCTGACTTTTTGCCTGTCAGAAGCTACTGGTATGATGCACCTTGTGGCATATGCTGCTGATGCTGATAAGAGTTGATGCCAAAAGATCTCAAAAGTTTAGGTGCGACAATGTGAAACCTCACTCAGATATTGCAAAGAATGGAATTTAACTGTACAGCATAATCTTCTCTTTGTAATTTGTACCAACTGAAGTCTGTGAGATTTACAATGCAGTTTTATAAGCTTCTGATTAAGGGCACTACTCAAAGTCATCAGCCATTTGGAATTCAAAAGGAGGTTTGCCCTTTTGAAATAATTGAGTTTGGGTGGAAGAAACATTCCCATTAAGGAGATGTCTGCAAGAGCCTGAATAGAAGAATGCTGCAGACTCTTCAGGTTGTGAAGAGAGATCAGAGCTTTCAGGAAGCTAAAGAGGTGCCAGGCATCTGACTGACCCTTGTTCCCAGAGTTTGGCAGAGAAGCAGGTTTCTTACAGAGAAAAGGCAACAGAATCTTGAAAGCAGTGGTTGTTGCTAAGCAAACCTTTGCCTTGCTTCCTTTGCCATTGAGATATGCCACTCTCCATCAAGGTTTTTGAAAATTCATTTTGCTAGACATTCAAGTGTACACCTACCTCCATGAATCTGAAAAAGCAGATTATTATTCAGAAAAACCCATGCCATGGAAGATCTGTTGGCCTTGAAGGCATTACATGACTAGGTTGTTTTGCTACCACAGCCCAACACCTGTCTCTCTTGGGAAACTGTCCTTTAAAAACATTCCACAAAAAAAAACCAAAGGATACAAATGCATCATGGGCCCTATCTAGCTGGGGCCCTACGGGCCATTCTGGGTGCATCTATATTATAGAATTTATACAGATTGACACCACTTTAACGGAGTGCCACTCCAAGGAGGTGGGGAAAAATAATCCTGGGTTTGGATCAATCCACAATCAGAAAATCTGTGTGGATTCCAGCCAGTTCCTGGGATTTCTGTGTATGCACTCAGAAACAAATTGGATCTCTATAATTCACAATCTGATCCGAATTACATGACTGTGTCGAAACAACCACAGGGCTAATTTTCAAGGATGATCACTCAGTCTGGCTCTATGTTGTAGAACGAATGGAGTTTGACCACACTTTTATCATGGTTCTATGAGATGGAATCCTTAAATTTGAAGTTTGGAGAGATACCAGTACTTTTGGTTAAATACCTTGTAAAACTACACTTTTCATGTTTCCATAGCACTGAGCAAGAGCAATTAAAGTGGTTTATGTTAGGGAAAACTACTCTAAAACAAGGCAGAGCATCCAAACACAAACAGGAAAGAAAAGTTGGGCATCACCTCATTAGTGAGCAGAACGTGAAGTGTGGTGTGGTTGTAAAGAATTAAGAGCTCAGGGAGGCAAAGATGCAGTCTAATCTTAAAAATCTCAAAAGGTTTATTTACAATAATAAGAAACAACTGCATTTCTTAATAATCAAGAACTAGGTCTGAGCTACTCTAACACCCATCTCTTCTAAGGTTTTAAGGAGAGGGGAAAAAACACCAATCACTACATCTCTCTGACACACATGCAGAGAGGGACCTCAAAGCACACAGCACATACACTGATGTAAGAAACAAGTCAGATTTAAAAAGGCTTGCAGTAGAAAAGTATGCATTTCAAACAACCAATCTGAATAAGAGCAGAAAGAGAGAAAGAGAGAGAGAACAAAATAGATACATTCCTAACTGTCATAAAGGAGACATGGGGGGAGGAAAACAGTTTCGTTAATCTATACTGAACTAACTAAACTGTTCCTCATTGAGGACTTGAGACTTGGGCAGTGTGGGGTTGAATTCCAACAGTTCCAATGTTGTGACTCAGCGTCTGTCTCATGTACCTACTAGTAGTAGTAGAAGGAAACGAGGTTTGGAAGAGGAAGACGCTCAGCAACAGCTGAAGCGTATTAGAGACTTGTTCYTRGAGCCTAYGGATGAGGAGGATTTYGAGGGGTTTACTCRCRAGGAAATKGAGGTGGAGGATTACYRYRGTRTAAAKYRAGTMGCAHGCAGCWYGSATAGTGATGDGGRATCTGTKKCYAAAYGCCTTAAAGAKGTAGCTGATTGTGAGGASTTTRACAGYDAAGAGGAAGAGCTGGAYTGGACYAAGGTCCAGGAWGTGTTAGAYRTGGTTAATGCTCCCACTTCTAGTGATGAGTTCCAGGGTTTTACTGACACTTGGGTTTCAGATACTACTTTGCAGGATGCAGTCCGAAGTACAGAATGACCACTCTACGCTCCTGCTTATCCCTTGGTGACTTCGTTGGACCACTCCTTATGCGGATTGCTGTTTGCTGTTTTGTTTGGATTTGGAATGGACTGAGTTTCTGCCGCTGACTTCAAGCCGTACTGCCTGTGTTAATGCTGCTTTCCTTTTCCCAGCGAGGACTGACTGGGACTTGGTTTGTTTACATTCTTGCTGGCTGCGAGCCCTTTTGTGTTTACCGCTATGCTTTTAAGAGCCCTTTTTCTTATGTTAATTGACATTAAAGACCTTTGTTTAACTCCTTAACTGCTGTCTTGCCTTGCTGGTCCGCCTGGGTCTTGACATCCAAACTATAATAATTCTGTGCAATAATTAAGTACACACTGCATTCTCCTTGTTCTCTATCATAGCATATTCAGAATACAAAATAGGAAGCCATGCTGGCACATACTAAGTGTTTTTAAGCTAACAAAACAGAAAAGCCGGCATTTGCATGAAGATTTTTATTGAAATCGACAAGAGAAAAAGCAGGAACATCTAAAAAAAAACTGAGGAGATGGTTGTTTATTATTTGAAAATACCAATTTTACTAAATAAAAGACCATCTTGACTCCTTTGCTTTACATGGTGCCTTTTCCTCTCCCACATTTTCAATGGATGCTTCCCTAGGTTCTGGTTTTTATTTCTACTAAAGCTACCATTTAATGTAATGCAGCTTTCTTCGGAGGTGAAGAAAGGTCTTCCTCCAACCAGGAACTACACTTCTGTCTCTCGGTGGGTACAACACCCCAATTACTTCTATTCACATTCCAAAGAATAAAATAAAAAATCCAGGGAAGCCACTGATTGTGTGGCATGAAAACTGAGCTATTTCCATCCGTAGCGAACAGCCTGCAGAAATCCAGTCCATTCAGAGCAGAGCTGGAAAAAATGGCACTTCCAAAATGGGGCATATTAAGCTGTTAGCAAATGAAACCTTTGACAAATAGCCTTTCAGAGATCACTTATGTCAAAACCTGATCCTGTCTCACAGCATGAAATCAATACTTTTTCAAAATGGCAGAAGAAATAGTTTCAGATGGTTTTTACTGCTTTTTAAAAACTATAGCGGATGGTGTATTGAGGGAGAGGTAAGAAAGAGAGGCAATATTAGCACAGCAATGCTTATGGCCTCCTAATAGATTTCTTTCCATCCATTTACCCTGCACCAAGCCTGCCCTGCAGATTGGAATAATCCTGAAAAGCTGTTTTAATGGCTTTTTTAATAAAATGCATTAGATCACATTTGAGGTTTTGGAAGATTTATAGGCCTGAGTTACACACAGCAATCTTTGTTGGGAAGCAGTTAAGACTGTTGTATTCTCAGTAAAAGGCCTAGTAAAATAGTTTTATTTAAATGAGTAACAGATTGTAATTCTGTTATTGGGGGGAAAAGATTCAATGTAATACTCTAGGAAGAGACCCACAATTGAATTTATATCCGACAAAGCTCAGTTTCATCAGACCCTTTCCCGCTTAACTAAGTTAGGCAGAAGCCTTCTTTTATCAGAGCGAAACATCCCAGCTTCTTAAGCCGTTCCTCATATACCTTGGTTTCCTTCTCTGGACACGTTCTAGCTTGCTGCTAGTCTTTCTGCAGCATGATCCAAGCATTATCCCTACATATAACCATGACAGTGGGGTAAGCTCCCACTGTCAGCCCTAGCTTCTGCTTACCTAGTAGTTCAAAAAAGGCAATGTGAGTAGATAAATAGGTACCACTGTGGCAGGGAGGTAAAAGGTGCCCCTGAAAACATGCCAACAATTCGATCAGGAAAGCGTCCATGGACAGGCTATTCTTCCACACACCCCCCTTTTTATTGTTGTTTTTTCCCACTCCCACCCTCCTCCTTTTACGTGCAATTTATACATCAAACTACAGAAGTTGTATTTGAGATATTAATCTCATTCTTAATTTTTCTACTCCACATCTTAACACATTCTCTAAATAATTCCTAACTGGTTCCCACACCCTCTTAGTTATTGTAACCTTTTCAATTTTATCTATATTATTCCATTTGAAATTTGTTATTTCCACATTTAATATATTAACTATATACTTATACCAATTTAATCAATGTTCATTTTGTTTTATCTTTCCAACCCCTCACTAAAACAATTTGTGCACACGCTATTCATTTGCCAACCAATTTTTCTTTTTGTCTATTCTTCACTTCTGTTATCCGTGCATGTAGTACAATTCTATAAACTATTACTATTTGTAAATTTAACATTCTATTGATTTCTCCTTCAATCATTCTCTAGTATTTTTGCACTCAATCACATTCCCATATCATATGAATAAACACCCTTCTTTGTTCACAACCATGCCAACACCTATCCTTTATCCCTGGTAAAAAACATTTATATTCCGCCTTTCTCAATCCAAAATGAGTGTTGACCCTCCCAGTAAGATCCATTCTTCTCACCCTGAGTCCCCCCCTCTTCACAACCTCCTCTCTCCCTTTTACTTCTCCCCCTCCCCCGCTCACCACTTCCTACTTTCCTATACACCCGACTGTATGTTTTACTGTATGTTAAAAAAAATCCTAATAACAAATATTGAAAAAACAAACAAACATAAAAACAAAATGAGCGTTGACCAGTGAAATGCTGCATAAGACTGCCTCCACTGGAACCCCTTCCACAAAGAGAGGTTCTTTCATTTGTCAACACGTGGGTGCAGCAAACTGTAAACTGATCTAAACTCTGGACCTTCAGTATGGACATTTACCTGCCAAACTTAAATTCCGGGCTCTGTTTACCCTGCATCTTTGGCAATAATCAACTTATATACCCCCAATGAATTTTGTCGGCTCTGGGAAATTGAAGCTTCAGTTTGATGTTTTGTTTTATGTTGATAGGTTATGTATTACCTTAATTTTAGATGTTAAGTTGTAATTTGTTTTTACATGTTGAGTTATTATTTTTTGCTATTATGTGTGCATTGGTTGTCGTATTCAGGCATTGATTGTTTGCCTTTTTGTGACTGGAATCTGCCCTTAGTCCCTTTCGGGAGATAGGGTGGAATATAAATAAAGTTTATTATTATTATTATATTGTTGTTGTTGTTGTTATTGTTATTATTATTATTATTATTATTATTATTATTATTATTATTATTTTAATGGTGCATACTGGATTGCACTCTAAATTGAATGCATCCTATTCCCCATTACATGGGAGATTATGTTAAGTGAATACCGGCCAAACTGATTTTGAAGAAAATGTTTATAAGTTCTGCGTTTATCACTTGTTTCACTTACCTTTGTTCTGCTTCTTCATCCGAACAGTTGTTTTCTTAAATGAGGTTGCGATGTCATGATAAACTAGAAGAAGGAGAAAGCATTAAGAGAATATGGTTGCCAAATGCAATAAGCTGTGTTTATTTTAGCCTGAAGTTATCACTGAGTTCACTTTACAAAACGTAAAGCCAGAATACAATTGATTCCAGTACAGTTTAATCCCACTCACAGCCTCTTTGCCAGTACACATTTTTAAAGTGGTAAGTCTTTCAGATAAAGAAACAGAAATGTTTCCATTGCTACCACTCACTGCTTTGAAACCACTCTGAATAGGAGATTATACAAAATGGTACAAATCTTTTAAAAATACAAAATGGGATAAAATAAAATGAATACACATCCTCCATTTTGCATATGCTTCCTTCAAATTAAGAAATAGTAACAATAACAACCAATTGCATTAAAACATTTCCCGGAAAATAGGTTTTCTTCTGTCTGCAAGGCTATAATGTAGATAACAAGCAATCATCCAGGGAGGAAGATTTCTAACAATGTGCTACATGACCAAAGAGGTCCCCTTTCCAATTCAAGTTGTCATTTCTGTCTGGGGTGAAAAAGAAAGTTCATCCATGCTGCTTTATTTGATATGGCTAGCTCACCACATGCTGCAGAGACTTAGCAAATGCCAGATTGGACGTAGGACTAAAGGAACGAGATGCAACAACATGGCTGAACTGGATTGTGGTTTAGATTATGTCAACTGATGGGAGAGGCGATTTCTCTAGGAACTTCCAAATATCCTGCCTTGATTTTCTGTGATGCCCGACTGCACCGCTCCAGCAGATATTTGGCTGTGTACCTTATTGAAATGGACAGCTAATTACAAACTCTAATGGACTTTGCTGAATGTGTGTGAAATGGTACTAACTTATTAGCAGGGGTGCACTTAAGTCATTTACAGATTATGGTCAAGGAATTAATCAGCTGTGTAGACAATAATCAGAATGGACTGACAGATTAACCATATATGTGAGGTATTCGTGGAGGTTTATTTGGCAGTCTCTGATCATTTCCTTAATGTTCAAAGTGAAATACAATTGATTGACTTCTAGGATACAAAAACCCAAAATAGGATAAAAATGTAATAACTGCAGAGACATGGGTAACTGAACCAATCCTCAATGGCTTTCATAAAATACCTGGCAAGAAATTCCAATGATGTATCAGGAAATACTGGTTTTCTGGAATGTAACTACATTTATCATCAGATTTAACATGTTCTCCTCTTCCCTTTTCAAACTTCTGAGATGAGCAGCCTGCCATATTTTGTTGCAGTGCAGCTCACAATAGCCCTACTCAGTGCATGATGGGGAATGGTGATGGGAGCTGCAGTATCCAAAACGGCAAATTTTCCTATGCAAAGAACTGGGGATCAACAATGTTGGCATTCTGTGGCATTGTCACCTAAATTGTGTTTCAGCCACTTTCATTGCAGATGTTTTACATGCAAAACAGATGGAACAAAAACAAATTTCCTGATCAATCTACCTGTCTGGGGACCTTGGAGGTCTCAACTTTCAAGCACCTTCCTCACTGTGTCAAGGAACAATAAGGAATGCCTAGTCCATATGTCAGTGTTATAGTAGCACTGGGGGGCTTCTACCCAAACAGGCCTGTCTGCCAAAGCAGAGAACAACCTTGGTTGAGACGTGGTCATGGTCCGTACTGGCTTGATCTCATAGTTGGTCAAAGGCATAGGTGGGAGAGCCTCAGCCACTTCCATGGGAGCTTCAACCTCTTCACCTTCAGTATGTGGCCTTCCTTCCACATATTAAGTGGGAGGAATCGCTTCAGGGGATGTACTCTGGACTCCTGATAAGTTAGTGGTTACAACTGGTGGTTTGACATGAGATGCCTGAGATTCACCCTTTGTAGCTGCTTTCTAGTTCAGGAAGAAACAAAGCCTCACCTCCTGATTCTTCCACGCCTGAGGTGTAAAGGCCTGACATTGAATGCATGAATGGATGGCATGTCCTTCACCTAAGCAAAGAAGGCACTTAGAAAGTCCATCCGTGTTGGGGAGTTAGCCTGCACACTGCTCACATCACTTTAAGTGAGTCATAGAGGCCATACTGGACTAGGCCGTAAGCACCGTAGTCAAGGAGCGAGATAACTCAAAAGCGGGAATCTTCATAAAACAAGGTTGGAATGGATGAAATTCTCATTAGAGAGTAAAGCAGTCCAAATAATTGAAGATACAAGCAACTAGCAAAGGTTCCCGAACCAGCCACAATACAGATGAAAGGAATTGAGAGGTTTTGGTGGCAACTGGGCCTTATATAGCCTTGGGATTGTGGACGGGGTTACTGCCAAAACTTTTCTGCCTAGCTCCTGAACAGTGCTCTGAGCCTGCGCAAATTACCCAATTGTGTGATTTACAGAGACCATGAAGAAGAAATCAATAATAATAATAATAATAATAATAATAATAATAATAATATTTATACTGACAAATTTCTAATCCTTTCTTTGTAATCACATCAAATGAATTGAAAATGCATGAGAGTGGAGCATGCCACCAATGTCATAAGTAGTGGAAAATCATAATTTCTCATTAAATAAGGCTATTTTTTCATTTTGTTCCAGACAAAAAAACTTGAAGAAAGGAAGTAACTTGATTATTTTTTTTATTTTAAAAAGAAGTCTAGATGTCTAATACTTACTTGTATGATCTTCGTATCTTTCAATATAGTGTAAATAATGAACAGCTCTGTTCTTTGCCTGGGGAGGGACAGGAAGATTTTTAAAATTAAGAAATAATTAAGAGAACACACTATTTGAGCTTGACAGCCAAGTCACATTAAAATCAAAGAAGGTGCATTAACATAAAGTTATTTCTACCTGTTATGTATTTTGCTGAAATAAATAAAATTAAGTTCAATAAATTAAAAAAGAATGAATTGGTGTTACAAAGTACCATTTAAAAATATTTAAAATATTAGCAAAATATTGGTTAAACACCATATGATTAACACAGGTAGGGCCTATGGATTGGATGTCAGCAATAGCATTGGGTGAACATGAGTAGCTCTTTGGACACCGGTCCATGAATCAAGGAGAGGTTAAAGGATGGTGGAAAAATGCATGGAGAAAAGGGGTGGGGCTTCTGAAGTTATAGCTTTATCTGTTATCCAGAACTTGGAACAGTTCTGGATAACTGATATCTCCCTGCCAAACACTGCTATTTTTTTTCAGAGATTTATGCATACCATGGACTCTGGGTGATCCTGGTGGTTTGTAGAAGTAATATCTGGCAAGAGGAGGGGTCTTGGACTGTGGAGGGGTCTTAGACGGCTCTGTAGCAAAGCACATACTTTTCATGTGTATTTAGCGCCTGACTTTTCCAAGTAAAATCACTGAGTAGCAACTGCTAGCCAGAGCAGACAATAAGGTGGCCTGGTTTGTTCAACAGACAATAAGGTGGCCTAGTTTGAGAAGGTAACTTCCTATATTGGAAATAGATTCTCACTAGAGAATGGAAAAGCCCTGAGTTCCCTTTGGGGTTGAGAAGGGTGGTAAATGACTATCGCAAATAATAAATAAGTAATAAAAGTTAATTTTTGATCTGTATTGTCGAAGGCTTTCATGGGTTGTTGTAGGTTTTTCCGGGCTATATGGCCATGTTCTGGAAGCAATTTTTCTCCTGACGTTTCGCCTGCATCTATGGCAAGCATCCTCAGAGGTAATGAGGTCTGTTGGAAGTAGGAAAAATGGGTTTATATATCTGTGGAATGACCAGGGTGAGACAAAGGACTTTTGTTTGCTGGGGCTAGCTGTGAATGTTTCAGCTGATCACCTTGATTTGCATTCAATGGCTTGGAAGCGCCTGGGGGGAATCTTTTGTTGAGAGTGATTTCATGTGCCTGTTTGTTTCCCCTCTGTTGTTTTGCTGCTGTAATTTTTGAGTTTTTTAATACTGGTAGCCAGATTTTGTTCATTTTCATGGTTTCTTCCTTTCTCTGTGATTTTTTGTTAATTTTTGATTGATCATTTCCAGACTCCCTGGTCTAGAATAGCATGAGTCTTATGAGGTCTCCAGAATTTTGGGATCTATAGTCCATAAAAGATTTTTTTCCTTCAAATTCTGGAACACAAATGAGAGAAAAGTCTAAATTTTATGCATGAAGGACCTGTGAGGGATGCCACAACTTAACAATAATGAATTACATTTAATGGGTTGCTGTGAGTTTTCCGGGCTGTATGGCTATGTACCAGAAGCATTCTCTCCTGATGTTTCACCCACATCTATGGCAGGCATTCTCAAAGGTTGTAAGGTTTATTGGAAACAAGGCAAGTGGGGTTAATATATCTGTGGAATGTCCAGGGTGGGAGAAAGAACTCTTGTCTGTTGGAGGCAAGTGTGAATGTTGCAGTATATCACCTTGATATTAACTGAATGGCCTTGCAGCTTCAAGGCTTGGCTGCTTCCTGCCTGGGGGAATCCCTTGTTGGGAGGTGATTAGCTGGCCCTGATTGTTTCTTGTCTGGAATCTGCATTTTTGAGTGTTGTTCTTTATTTACTGTCCTGATTTTAGAGTTTTTAAATACTGGTAGCCAGATTTTGTTCATTTTCATGGTTTCTTCTTTTATGTTGAAATTGTCCACATGCTTGTGGACTTCAATAGTTTCTCTGTGTAGTATGACATGGTAATTTTTAGCATGGTCCAGCATTTCTGTGTTCTCAAATAATATGCTGTGTTGACAACACATTAATTACATTTAATTTTGGGGCTACATACTTTTCTTAGTGCCACCATCCTGTCAGAGGCTTTTCCAAGTGCAAAACCTGATAGATAAAAATAATTCAAGTTAGTGAAGGAACATTATAGATGACAACCTTTAAAGATTTGCAGTAAGTGGAGCCCTCCCCTTGCAAATGTGTTATTGAGGAGGCCTTCACACTCAAATCTTCTCTCAGTGATCCTAGATCTATCAAGAGCTGCAGGTGTATCAAAGGAACTAGAAGGCACATGCAGGATCCTTAACCTCTTCTTTCCTTCCACCACAGAAAGACTCAAAAATTTTCAACAAGAGGGAGAAAACCTTTCTGAGTATGTCCCTGACTTCTTGCTTCATTAAGCTTTCTGTTCAATAAAAGTCTAAAACAACACAATGTTTTACTTCCATGGAAGAGAGTGCCTCAGGCAACCACAGAATAATTAACAACAAAGGAATCTATATTAGATTATATTCTGAGATTATGGGTCATGATGTTGACTTTGGAATGTCAGAAACTGTATTTGATTTTTCTTTGGAAGCAAAATAAATTAGTGTCCAATGTGGAATTTTGGTGCAAGAGATAGACATTTCCTTCCTCCACCTGTATTTAACAATATTTCAAGGGAAATTGCTGACACTTAACAAAAGTCATCTTATCAGCAACCTTTTCAAAAGGGCCTAGTCAACTCTGTCTGCTTCAAAGACCAAGAGTGTCTATTCAAGCCAAGAGGTCAAGACCCAGACTACTACTCTAGGGCAAATGCTTTTCTCTAATCGACTCCTCAGCCTTTCTCAGCTTGAGGCAGTGCCGTTTTCCCTTTCTACTTCTATCCTTGCAGAGAACATTTCTCTTTCTATTCCCTGAGTGATGAACAGCGAAAATAACTTGGGTATGATATACAAAAGTGAAAGCAAGATCACTCATTCAAGCTCACTACAGACAGAAACTGAATGACAGCACAGTGCAAAAGCCAAACGGAGATACAAATAAAGGAAATAGAGGTGCAGCTGGAATTGAGGCCCATAAAATCTTGAGTAGCAGACAAACAAGGATAGCTACAGATCGTATACACCTAAAGACACACAATTCATCTTTAACTGAGACACTTGTCTGATACAGTCACCATTAGAGTGGCCGTAAGGACCAATTTTTCCTCTTTCTGGAAACTCATGTCTGAAGCGAGGATTGTTATGGATTGGTATTTCACGGGATGCTGCAAGATGCTCCAGCATCTCCTTATCCACTTCACACACTTGTTAGGAGATGAAGTCAGTTATGAGGTTGAACCCATTTAAGAGGCACAAAGGCATAGTTCAATGTGTAGAGGATGGTAGCATCAGTATAGTCCCTGTAGAGTTCTCCATCTCATCTTGCCGAACAGCCTATCAACAGCAGTGGTGCCCTGCTGCAGTCTGTTTTTCACCCAAAAACATTGCTATATTTTCGATTGACTGAAAACATATAGATTAGGGGGGTCAAACTTATTTTCATTGAGGGCCACATCAGCCTTATGGTTGCCTTCATAGGGCCGTTGAATCTATGGACGGAGAAACAATGGATACAGAGTGCCAAGTACATTTTTTTATATAGTAGTCGGCGTTGTTTAGCTTTTACCCAGTTTTGATCCCCAAATGTTATTGAATGACAACACCCATCATTTCTGATTATCTGCCATGTGGGATAATGGGAATTGCAACCCAACCGCATTCGTGGCTCTGAAGTTGGCAAAAGGTAAAAAGTCAGACATTATATCCACAAACCTTGTATCTAAATTCAAACCCCACTGTTCTGACTAAAAAGAAACTTCCAGATGTTACTGTATCACAACTCCCACCAGCTCTTAATGCTAAATGATGAAAAAAAAGAGTTGTAGTCCAGCATCTGGAGGGTAAAATAAAATGACATGGTGACTGCACTCAGCCTGCAGATCTTGAGTTTGACCTAAGACTTAACATTTACATAAATGAACATATAATGAAATTTCCATAAAACATTTATAAATCATTTGTATTTCTCGTGTTCAAAGCACTCAATGCATATTGTGTCAGTCTCCCATATAATTTATACCAACTTTTGCAAGGAAGCATGCATAGAAACATATAATTTTAGAATCTGACTTCAGATATTTGCTAATATAAACTTTTGTGTGGTTCAGAAATCTTGGAACTTATTTTTTGATGGCTGCCTGTGTTCCATTTCTAAGAGATAAGAGGACTATAAATCCAAGAAATAAACCAGCTGCAGCATTCCTGGCATATGGTCATCTAGCCTCTCCCAAAATACCTCCAGTGAAGGAGAGCATACAGCTTCCCAAGGAAATTTTGTTCCATTATCAAACCTTAGGACATTTTTTCACAATGTCTAAACAAAATCTGTTTCCCTGGAACTTTTTTCATTTGAATTCAAGCAAACTTGCTTACCAGCAGCCCCTTTTCCATTCCCAACAACCACCAGAGCACTAACAGATCTTTTTCGTCCTTCCTTGGCTGTCATGTTAAATACACTTTTCAACTGAAAGAGAAAACAATGAACATTTAGATTAGCTGCTTCTTAAAAAAAGAAAAAGAAGAAGTGAGGCAGACAAAGAATAAAAAAAGAGATATTTCTTGGATCATACCATATTTGCACTTTTGTAGTAAGAGTAATCTGATGCAACCAGTTTGCAAATGCACTTTGTATTTTAATGCTCTTGGCCTGACCAGCTTGTTCCAACAACTGGTTGTGTGTGGTGGTAAGAGGTGCTGGCAGGGGATGCTATAACTTCTTTAGGAATAAATATTTCAGAACTTGTGAGAGTGGAATAAAAATCTATTTGGCATTTTATGTATTGTACTTTATTCCTAATAAGTTATTTATTTATTTCCCACATTTGTATCCCGCCCTTCACACCCAAAGGGACTCAGGGCGGCCTCACAACAGGCAGCAATTTGATGCCGACAATATACAATTCCAAAAATAACAATTGCAATTGAATCCACATAATTAAAACATCAATTATTGAAACATCAATTAAAATCACGCAAGTTCAAACCCTAATCCAAGATCTGTCCATTTGTCAGTCACATTAAAATTACTCGCATTATTGCATTGCTACAATTACTGCTCGAATGCTTGATCCCACAACCATGTCTTAAGTTTTTTCGTAAAGGACAAGGAGGGAGCTGCTCTGATTTCATTGGGGAGGGAGTTCCACAGATGAAGGGGCGTCCTGTCCCCACCAAGCGTGTGCCTTGGATACTTTTTCTGGGGGAAAGTTGGAGAGTAAATCCAACAAACAAAAAAATAATAAATTTGTATTTGTTGGGTGCTTATTACACTAGCCCATTGTTTTGCTTTGTCCCATTCAAAAACAGCTTCACCCATACTCAAGAAGAGAAGTGAATGTTGTGCTGTATTTCACACCAAAGGTATATTTGCGCTTTGATAGTGCAACTTTCTTTTACACAATACAAGCTTTCATTTTTGTAATACTTAGTGTATATAATTATGGATGAGTCAAGAATTTTTTGACAAAACATGGTTGACCCCCCTCCCCCCAACAAACAAACAAACCAGCCCTGGATCAACTTATCCACATATATAAATTCTGGAAACAGATTTATTTATTTATTTGCTGTATTTATTTCCTGCCCTTCTCAACCCCGATGGGGACTCAGGGCAACACACACAGAGGCACAATCTGATGCCATACATTAAGTACAATACAAATCCAGCAATATATATATATATGTATGTATGTATGTATGTATATACATTAAAACATCCGCTAAAAACATGTCAACATTAAAATTCTTAAAATCACATTATCCAATATCATCGTCCAGGCCGTTTCATTTATCATTGCACCATTCCATGTTCACATATTGCACCAATAAAGTATCCAAATGCTTGGTCCCATATCCAAGTTTTCAGTTTTTTCCTAAAGTTCAGGAGGGAGGGTGCTAATCTGATGTCCCTTGGGAGGGAGTTCCACAGCTGAGGTGCTGCCACTGAGAAGGCCCTGTCTCTCATCCCCACCAACCATACCTGTGAGGGAGGTGGGACCGAGAGCAGGGCCTCCCCAGAAGATCTTAATCTCAGAGATGGTTCAGAGAGAGAGATATGTTCAGACAGGTAAGCTAGGCTGGAACTGTTTAGAGCTTTATAGGCTAAAGACAGCACTTTGAATTCTGTTCGGTAGCAGACTGGAAGCCAGTGGAGCTGGTGTAACAGGGGGGTTGTATGCTTCCTGTACCCTGCTTCAGTGAGCAATCAGTTTGCTGCCCGTTGGATCACTTGAAGCTTCTGTACAGTTTTCAAAGGCAACCCCACGTAGAGCACACTGCAGTAGTCTATTCAGATGACAATGATGACAGCTTAATGTGTGCTATGCTGCCTAGCATTTTGGGAGCTTGAGGTGGAATGCAGCATGGCAGCAGCCATTTTTAATAGGTGGTTACTATAAAAACCATGCAAGGCCAGTTTGGTTATTTTTCATACTGTATAGGATTCCCCACACTGCTGCTGAATGCTGTTTGAGGTCAAATAGTTGAGGAAAGAGGGAGAGCTGTCTTTCTTTCTTACTCCAGTAAGCTATCGGCACTTAAGCAGCAACATTGGCTGAGATCACCATAAGGACACCCACCCCCATCACAGTTGTGCTTACGTGCCTCTACGTTTGACGTGTGCCCCAAAGTTTTATCCTTGATTTACCCACAGTCATAGCAAAATCTGTCATTTTGTCCCCAAAACCTGTCTTCAATTTATATGTAAGGTTAACTTATACAAGAGTATATTTGGTAATGCTTCACACATCATTTCAGACATTCTGCTGAAGAAATATCACTATATACAAAACGAAGGGGCAGTGGAGTATCAAACGCATGTTTTATTTCACTTTGTATGTTGACAGGTTCATGGAATATTCTTTGAGTGATGGGTTAATGCACTGAACTATTTGAAGCAGGAGATTTCAATGTATATATCATATTTTTCAGATAGTAGAACATATGGATCTCAACTCCTGCTCAAGACAGCAATGGTCAGAACATGCTAAATACAAGTGAGGGGGCACAGAAAAAGCTGTCAGAATTGCAGAGTATAAAAGTATTTCATCTAGAGAATGGAGCAAAGCAACTGAACAAAACACTGAGCACAGGATGAAGGGAAAACACAGCTTTGTGGAAGCACCAGTTTCATTGCAAAAACCTGCTCAAAATGCTACAGCAAGTTGCTTCCATGTGGTTCTGTAGAATCTTGACTTCCTAAAGTTTGGGCAGCTAAATGGCAACAGATTACACCGTTGTTGTATGTTTTGAGTTACTGGTAATTCGAATTTATGGTATCTTTGTTGAGGTTTTCTTGGCAAGATTTATTCAGAGGGTTATGCCATTGCCTTTCTCTAAGGCTGAATGTGAATCTTATAAGGTCACTCAATAGGGATTTGAACCCTTGTTCCAGAAAAATTGCAACCCAACACTACATCACATGTCTTAACTACTACATCATGTTGACTTTCAAACAGATTAGGTATCTTAAATAAAGCACAGTAGATTTTTCTGCATTGTAGCCATTCCCTCCCTAGTCCTGTTTTTGTATGCTTGAAAAGGCACTTATCAAAGAAAGGGCAAAATACCTAAATATATGTTCACTGGCTCATCAAGAAAAGAATGTTTGTGATAATATTGAACTACTATTTGTGGCAAAACTACTATTAAGTTTACGATCATTATTTGGACTCTTGCCCCCATTCAAGTTGACCTCACTCATTCACCTCTTTTCCCATAAGCATGTGTTTAATAACATTTAATAACATTCTGAAAACTAAGGCCACTCTCTATGCATATGATGAAGCTAGCTCATCTTTAAGCTGGCACAAGACTCCTGTTTGTGTTTTAATTCGGAAGCAGCGAGATGCATTCTTAATGTGGCATTTGCTTTATATTGCAAAAGTTTGAGGGGACGGACGGAACAATAGCAAGAAGCTAGTTACACTTAAACCAAGTTAACTAAGGGGAGGTAATATTACAACTATGGAGCCACTGTAACTGTGGTATACAGCTCGTGTTACACCCTTCACTTTGGAGCCCTGATTGGTGTCAATGATAGTAATATTTTGTCATTAAGTAAATATATATTTTTGCTAGCACCTTTGGTGCCAGGTGATTTAATCTAAATCTGTATGAGTACATTATTTTGAGTTCTTATAGAATCACAGAGTTGGAAGAGACCACAAAGACCATTCAGTTCAACCCCGCCATGCAGGAAATTATGACTGAAACACTCCCAACAGGTCAAAGCACTCCCAATAGAGATTTGAAACGGTTTTAACTCATCATATAGTTTAATGTGCTTTAGGAAATTTAAATAACTAGCTTAAATTGTTTTGAACAGAACTGTTCGGTGCCCTCAGATCCTTGTGGATATGCTACAATGGATTTAGATACTTCTCTAGAACTTTCTTTGTGTGTGTGAGAGAGAATGTGTGATTGGTGGGGACAAGAGACAGGGCCTTCTTGGTGGTGGCCCCCTATCTATGGAACACACTCCCCAATGAGATCTCCTTCAGAAAAAAAGCTTACATCTTGGCTTTGGGACCAAGCATTTGGGCAACTGACTGAGCAGCAACTGCAATGACTCATGAGAATCGTCAGTGAATAGATCTTGGATTGGAACTCTGGACTATGATTTGGATTTGCAGATTTAGGATTGACTACGTTTTAATATTTTAATGGCCAATATTTTAATGTATTTTATAATCTTGTTGTCTTATTTAATGTTAATTGTTTGTTTTACAATTGTTTGTTTGTTGGCCAGTTTATAAGCTGCCTCGAGTTTTCCCTCGGGAGTTGAGAAAGACAGGATACAAATGCTCGAAATAATAAATAAATAAATATGTCTATCCATCCATTCATCCATCCATCTCTTCTCCGCAGCTGAATTAGGTTCTTTTAATAAAGAAAGTTGAGGCAGTGGGGTAATTATGCATTTTTGTATGAAAGACCTATACTCTTTGGAGGATCCTAGGTGTTGTAGTCCCCTAATGTAATCTTTACAAGTTCCAAATCAAAACCCAAACGTCACTTTAAAAACACAGTGGGAGTCAGTAAACTTTCAATAAATCTCTTTATAGCACATTTTGGATAAAACCTCAGAGGGCTGCCAACAGTGCTTGATAAAACCGCCATGCAGACAAGCACAGGGCCAGAACTGGCCATCCATTTAGGTTTACACAAAAGAAAGTTTCTTCTTTGAAGAGAGATAATAGTTCCACAGATTTGGGGAACACAAGGGTGGGATGGGCTGTTATACACCATGGAGTTTGACCAGATGGCCCAGCGGTACCTTTCCAATTCCTAGGGAGTTCTGACAAGAGACTTCTTAATCATCTTTTGAATTTCCTGCACCTCCCACAGTGATCTCTGCCACCAACTGAAGTGATAATATTTTGAGTCTCTTGGAAAATGCCAGAGTCATCTATTTTCAAGTGCAGGGCAAGCGTTGTTCCCCACCTCGTCCAGACCTGAATGCTG